TTTTAAAGATTACCCTGAATCAAGGCAGGATAATCCTTAGTTTCAACCTCTTATTTCCGCTGAGCTCCCATAACATCAATTTCATCCCATCTTCAGCTCATGAGTGAGACAGCTTACTATCTTTGGCTGTATCAGTGTTGAAGTAATCTTTTCACCCTTATTCTGACATTCTCCAAAGGCAGTAAAATTCGTTAGGCTGCGTCAGCCATTATCTTGGAAGAAGGCTTTCAGTGACTGGCAACAAAGGCATTAGTGACAGGAGAGGCAGCAAATTTCATGCTGCAATCGTTTTTGGTTGACTCAAGGACGGATAGGAAACACACAGCTCAGCTGTGCCAAAAGCTCTCTCTGATATCTTGTGTTCTGGAGCTCAGATTTTTTTCATTCTTTTTCCTTGCTCTCCATCACACAGATTAAATATTACAAAAATAGCTGTTACCTTGTGATGCTTTTTATGGCATTTTAATGATGTCTAGAAGAGCGGGTGTACATTCGGAAACCACCGCATGAAAAGAATGTGGATGTAATCAGTGTTTTATCAATGCAGAAAGGGCTGCTTTTGAAATTAGCTGAAGAGTATATGAAATTAGACTATGTTTAGAGCTGCATGGAGTTAGATTCTGGCCATAAAAGAATAAAATGAAGAGAATTCACATCTTTGGGGGTTCCAGTGCTTTTCGAAGTAAGGAAGATAGGAGGTGTTAAAGTAAAGTCTTCCATAAATGAAAAAGGGGAAATGTTCTGTAGAAAATGTATATGATGCCTTGGCAGTTTTATTCTCCTGATTTAGTGGATGTTTTTGTTGAAGTTTCTCTACTTTTATTGTTATAGTGTATTCCTTGAAAAAAAGGTCCTTGGGTTACATCAAAGTCGGTAACATGGTGCTTTCTCAGTATGTTTTATTTTGACTTCATCTGCTCTTACATGGCCAGTAGTGAAAGACTGTGGGAGTTGTAAATCAAAAAAAAAAAAAAATTGAGAACACAGGTTGCCTACCCTTGGTTTATTTTAATGATATATTCTTGAACTTTTATTGTCAACTATCTTGGAACCTATTACTGAATAGATATGTAAAACTCCATGGTGTTGTTGAAATAAGCAATAACATAGGTTAAAAATAGTGGTGTGTATTCTTCAGAAATTAGAGACCAGAACTGAGAGTTCAGATATTTTCAGTCTCTGTAATTCTTTTTAATCTTCTTCCAAATTTACCTAGTGTCCAGGAGCATATGCAGGCGGGGGGGGGGGGTAAGAAAATGTCAAGATGGTAATATTATTTGTGCAATTGAAGTGAATGCACATTAAAAAGGGGTGGGCTTCATCTGCGCAATTGTGATGCCATTTTGATTTTATTGACACATACAGCCGCTCAGATGCCATTACTAGTATCTATCAATTATTGTCAGAAATATTCTATTAAAATATGCTGGTAGAACTGACATTTGTATATTTCATCATAGTTCATAATTTCACAAGTAATGGATTTTCAACTCCCACAATGCCCAGCCAAAGGAGTCACTAGCTAGGGATTGTGGGAACTCCAGCACATCTGGGTGGTACCAGGTTGATCTACTGATGTCAGCCCTTTGAGGTAAATCACATCAGGAAACTGACACTATAAAAACCATAGGAACTCTGTTTTACTATTAGAGAATATAATAACAGAGTCCTGAAAGTCTGACAGAGTTTCCCCCCCCCCCGTTTTTTAAAGATTACCCTGAATCAAGGCAGGATAATCCTTAGTTTTTTCAGACCCCTTCTTCTTATGCAGATCTAAGCTGACATTTATGTAACCCCTCTTGCATTCTTCAGAGCTATCTCTGCACTTCTCTACAACTGAGTAATCTTTCAATGTAAGGTTTTAGCAAGAATCTTTTCTTCAGTTCAGAAACATTATCAAGCAATTAAAATTGTGCAACAGGGAACAGTGCCCGCGTAACCAGGTGTGTTTCTGAGTCTTTCTTTGCTACCTTTCATGCGATGACAGTGCGCCTGTCAGGAGAAGAGGTGGATGTGCTCCTGCAGAAGTGTGAAGGAGGGGTGGACTTCGCCCTCAATTATGCCAAGAATATTTCCAAGTACATGAAGGATCTCATCTACTATATGGAGAAGAGGACGGTTCTGGGTGAGTTGAGAGAGAAGGGGCAAAGCTAAGCTGATTCAATGCCTTTGGGGGGATAAGCATCTGCCATGCAGAAGGTCTGTAGTCAAGGTCTACAGTATTCTGTGTTGCTTTGTCAAACGAATGCTCAAAGAAACCCTAGTAGCTACCAGGATTCCAAAACTGAAATAGGAATACAGGAATACAGGAATACAGGAATACAGGAATGCAGTGCTGGTTTCTAACCTTCTTCCCTTGCACCACTCTGTCAGTTCAACCCCTGAAACTCCCCCTTGATAGGTCTGGGCTCCATCTGCTTTTGGCCCTCAGTCCTCAAGAGGCTGTGCAAAGTACGATGTGGCCCCCAAGCTAACCACCATTACATCCTTCTGATTTAATCCAGTATTGTCTATTCTGATTGGCAGCCAAGATCTCAGAGACAGGAGGGTATTTGCCTGTCATCCACTACCTAATTTTTTAAACTAAAGATCCCAGGGACTGTGCCTGCAACCTCCAGTGTACAAGAAGCTTGTTCTATGATCTGCCTTATACCGGGCTAAATTATATCCTTAGTTTACTCTCACTAGCAATGGCTCATTAGCATTTTTGGACCAGAATCTTTCCCGGCCCTGCCTTGAAATGCTCAAGAGCGAATGTGGAACTTTCTGCGTACAGATCAGGTGCTCCGTCCACTGAGTTAGAATCTCTCCCTATCAAAAAGCAAGTGGATAGAGCATCTGTACATTCGGAAATTGGCCACTTCTAGCCCCGTCTCATCCTCCAAAGACCTGGAGGGAAAAATTACGGCTCTCCAACTCTGTGTCATGGCAGAAGTCCCTGAACACTTGCTTTTTTAGGTCAAATAAACCTAACCTGGATCAGTGTCAGTATTTTTTTTGTCCTCCTTGTTCCCCCCTCCTTTTTTTCCCCTCAGAAATTGAGTTTGCCAAAGGACTTCAGAAGATAGTGAACACCTGCAAACAAACCATCACTCAGGAGGTAAGCCTGCTGTGGCATGAGCATAATGCAAAGGGATGCGCCATTTATTCATTCTATTTGGATTTCCTGAGCAGAAGACGGGGGTAGAGGCCTAGAATTTGTCTTCTGGCTCCCTGGTCAGCTCCAGCTGCTCTTCCTTTGGGTGTGAATTAATTCCTATGGTTCACTTCTCAGCCCTCCATGCCATTCCTCTCCATCTACTCGCTGTCCCTGGAGCAAGACATGGAGTACAGTCTCAGCTCCCTGCAAGCTGCTACCACTTTGCGAACTGAAACGTACCTGCAGGTAAAAAGAAGGCCGTGGCAAGATTGGGGTGGGGGTCCTTATTTTGTAAGCCCCCCAGAGCACGCTAGAGTGATGGTTATGGTGTTGGACTGGCACTGGGGAGCCTCAGGTTCTGATCCCCCCTCAGCCAGAGAAGCTCCCGGGGGGACTTTGAACCAATGACACTCTCTCTCAGTCATCCTACCTCACGGGGTTGTTGTGAGGGAAATAGAAGGAGGGAGTGCAGAACAGCCACCTTGGACACCTGAAGGAATAGCAAGATGTACATCCAACAAGTAAATAAATAAGCAGTATCCATATCAATAAAGTTAGCCTACCTCTGCAGAAGACTGTTGTACAACTTTGACTCTCTTAAGAGTAATACCGACATTAATAGTAATACCACCAGAAAAGGAGCAAGAAGGCCTCCTCTCTGAGGGGTGAGAAGCCCCCTTCCCTTGAGGTAGGAAGAGGATCCCACCTGAATCTCCTTCTCTCTCTCTCTCTTTTTTTAAATCAAGAAGTGGTGAATATTGCACCACTGAAAGCCACTGAGTTTGCTGCTAAACTTTGGTGCAGCTGGTGATTCTAAGGACCTCCTGCGAGCAACGTGGGTGGGGAAGCCAGCTCTAAGCCCTGCCCCACAGCTACTCTGAGTCAAGAAAGGAGTGGGCTGGGGTTAGGTCAGGGTTAGGACTCGGCCTCAGTTCCCGGCCTGCCCAGGTCCTCTGAACGCAGCCGCTTTCTCTCCTCCGGCAACCAGGCTGACCCCGCCTCCTCCTTTTTCTTCTTCAGCCCCTGTCCCTGAGGCGCCTTGAGCATGAGAAGCGGCGGAAGGAGATTAAGGAGCAGTGGCACCGAGCACAGAGGAAGCTGGTGAGATGCTCTTGGGTAGCCCTGCAGGGTCCTGAGTTTGTTCAGCCCAGAGGTCGTAGCAGTTTCACGCATCTCAGGCGAGTCTGCAGGGGCGTCTCCTGGATGCAGTCAAAGAAGTCATGATGCTGGCCACAATGGTGTGATTGAGGCTCTGCACACATTTTTTATGTGTGGGGCACATTTTTAAAAGTAAAATTAAACAGTGGAGGTGAGGAGATGGCATCTAATAGGATTGGGGCTGCCTTTGTGCCACACAACTTCCACATTAGAAAATATAGGTAGTCCTCACTTACCAACTGCCTTGTTCAGTGACTTTGTATTGGTGTAAAAAAAAGCTTTGCAACTAATCCTTGCATTTATGACCACCGCAGCCTCCTGCAGTCACGTGATCACCATTTGCAAGCTTCATAACCTGCTTGTGACAAGCAAAGCTAATGGAAAACATGGCAGTAAAATCATAAGTCGTGGTCACGTGATGTTTTGCTTAATGACCACAGTGATTTGTATAAATACTGAATGGGAAGTGACATCATAAACCTGTTGCGGTCACATGATTTTCCACTTAGCCACCACTGTGCTTAGTGACAGAGTTGCCAGTCCCAATTGTGGTCACTAAGTGAGGACTACCTGTATGCTGGATTGCCAAGACTGAGCAAAACCGAACTGTAGAAATTCAGGATTCAACTGTCCTCTTGGACTGGAGCAGCATAGAAACCCCAGTAAATAAACAAACAAAGAATGGCTGTAATGGCAGGAGTTGGGTAGGCCGCCCCTTGCTGATGTAGGCACTGATGATATTACTTAGTTCAATTATACAATGTTTGCAAGAAGAAAACCAAGCGGGATGCTGTTTTGTGTTTCCCCCCAGCAAGAGGCCGAGAACAACTTGCGCAAGGCCAAGCAGATGTATATGCAGCGCTCGGAGGAGTGCGAAAAGGCCAGGCACGTGATGGCCAAGGCAGAAGAGGACCAGCTGGGGTCCAGCAGCAGCTCCGCCACCTTGAAGACCTTGGACAAGAAGCGGCGGCTGGAAGAAGAGGCCCGGAACAAGGTGGGCGGCTGATGGGAGCAAGTCGGACGGGCCCTGGAAACTGGGAGTGATTTGGGATGGGTCGTTTTGAACTTCGTTTGGGACCGACTTTGCAGTTGCCATGGTGTTTCCTCTCTCTTGATTGAAGAGTCTTCAAAGCAGGGGTGTCCACAGGGTGTGGTGGTCGTGATGGTGTGGTCTACGTTCGGCCTGTTTTGATGTGCGTCAACACACATAAAACAGGCTCAGGTTTGGTCACACCATTATCTTGACCTTTTCTACCATCCTCTACTTCAGAGGCTGAGGCTTTCCAGTTTATAAAGCTCAAACAGCAACTGCAAAAGAAAAGATAACGCTCAGTTCCAAAGTGGGTCAGAATTCTCCATTTCTCACTGACTCCTATAACAAGTTGGAAATAACCAAGCAGTTTAATATTGCTGGTGCTGATATCTGGCCCAGTTTTCTGCCACAAATGGATGTTTATAGAACCCCCTACTTCAATCTGTTGACAGGCTCCATAGTATCAGTTTGAAAGCTTACTTTTAACATCTAGCATCTTGATGCTCAGCAGACACTATGCTTCCTCTTATTTTATGTAAATGTGTATACCTGTGTGTGTGTGTGCATGTGAATATATAAAAGCAAACTTCAGTCAGCTCAGCAGACACCTACTTACCATACTTCCTCTTATTTTAATATATATATTAAAGCAAGCTTCAGTCTTAAAGATAATCCTTATTTCCAAGAATACTTTTGGACCGAGAGGCTTTCTTAGAAATTAAAAAGTATAGGAGGATGCATCCCCCCTCTAATTATTTAGAAGTGCATCAACCTGCCCACCCCCCAAGAGATAAACTAAGAAACATCTTGGGAAGCTAAAGGGGGTATGGGGATCAACTTGCTAGCCTTCCAAGTGTTTTGTAATGGTTCATACCTGCCAAAAGAAGCCATTTAGTAAAAGTAACCCTTACCATACTCTCAAATTCCAAACATGTTTACGAGAATCCCAAAATGGGAGATTTTAGGACTGGGAAACTTGGACTTGTTGAAAGGGAGAAATTAATTAAAACAGAGATTCTGGGGTGAAATGCCACCTAATTCTACCTTCTTGAGCAATGTTGTTCTCGAGGCACAAAAATTATGTCCTTGTGGGGGGAATTTAATGTTGAATCCATCTATCCTCGTTACCCGTCCCCTGCGTCTCTTGCTGATTCTAACTCTCTGCCAATTCAGGCTGAAGAGGCCATGGCAACTTACCGGACCTGCATCGCAGACGCCAACACACAGAAGCAGGAGCTGGAGGACACCAAAGTGACTGCGCTTCGGCAACTCCATGAGGTGGTCAAGCAGAGCGACCAGGTCATAAAGTCGGTGAGTTTGGCTAGCCCTTCCCACCAACGTGGTTCAGCCCTTTTGGTCCTTAATGAGGAGCTGCAAGCAAACGTGCTCTGGCCCATGGTCTTTGAAGGACATGTTTGTTGATATTAGAAGTAGAAACTTGGTTTTTGTCTCAGTGGGAGCTGAGATGTTCCCAAAGACTTGTGTGCTCAATCCTGGTTGTGGGTTTTGGTCTTGCAATAAGATCCTTCATGCCCACACTGGAGATGTTTTATTCATATTGATGATTGATGATGTGCTCTCAAGTCAGTATTGGCTCTTAGCAACTACTTAGATAGGTTCTCTCCATTCATATATTTCACCCTGTTCTCTGACATGTCACCCATTGGGGGGAGATGGGCGGCATACAAATTTAATAATAAATAAATAAAAATGTTTCTCTCCATTCTTCTTCTCTTCTTTGATCTCTGGATTCCAGGCTACCATTTCCTTCTACCAAATCATGCACATGCAGACAGCCCCGCTGCCTGTCTATTTTCAGACCTTGTGTGAGAGCAGCAAACTCTATGACCCCGGGCAACAGTACGCCTCTCATGTCAAGCGGTTGCAGCGGGGGGACGAACCCGAGACACAGTATGATTTTGAGCCCTACGTGTCAACCAACAACTGGTAGGGTTTGGTGCTGAACCACTTGCCTGATGCTCCTGACAAATCCTAATTAGTCCTAGTAGACTCTGTTTTGATCAGCCTTCCCCAGGTGTGTTGGGACCACAACTGCCAGAATTCCAACTCAGCATGCCCAAAGAATTCTGGGAATTGAAGCCCAACCTATAACATCAACCAACCAACCTATTTGAAATCAGGACTGCTTCCTCCTGCCCCCCACCCCTGCATTGTTCCTGTGGGCAGGGAGCAGGGGAAGGCTACTGCCCACGGGCCCCTTCCAAAAATTGTCAGGGTATTAATGACATTTAATATGATAGAAATAGGAAGTGATTAGTTGTATGGGGTATAATTATGGTGACCATATTTTCTTGGAAAAAATAAAGGACAAACTTGAAAAAGGGGCAAATCTGAAAGA